AGTGACGGGAATGCTCATCCTGAGGAAACCTGGATATCCAGTCTGCCGTAGAAACAGTGGTAGAGACTGTTGTAAACCTATATCCGAAGGTTAGCAAATGTCATTGGATTTCCACAACGTCAACCAAATTGATTGATGAGAGAATACTGATTCCAGCAGGTTCTGGCCATAATGAGAAGCGAAAATAGCTCAAAAGTAAATTAACTTAGAGTCTGCGTGATGACTGCAAGCAGTGGTGGGTCACAAAAACAAGAGATGGAGAAGACATCAGCATTAGGCAATACTCGGCGATTGTTTCGGCTTATTAAGGATACCGACAAGAAGATGAGGTGAGTGAATTCATCGAAGAAAATGATGGTATCCTGATAACCTTTCAGCGCAGACGGTTAGGAAGTTGGGTGGAACACCCCGAAGCCCATTGCAACTGACCCACAGCAACGCTTTAGTTGCCCAACATCTAGCCTGAACCTGAATGGGACATAGATGTTAGCACTTCAACTCTCCTGGAAGTTGAGTAGGTTGTTTCAAACCTGAATTCATGATAAGCAGCAAGACCTGACAGTTTGCCACCCTATGTTTTTAAGAATGGAGGTATAAAGTCACTGAGTAGATTGGTGAAGGTAGTGTACGGGAATTAGAAGTAAAGCCGTCAGAGTGGTCTACTTCACTGATTATCTCAGTCTATAAGAAGGGGAAAAGTCTTCTTGTTACAATCATGGGAGAACCAGTTTGAGTAACACCGTATCCAAGATCCTTGGGTCCATAGTTGTGCGACACCTAATTGGAACCTGAGAACAGCAGACTCGAGAAAACTAGGCAGGCTTCAGACCTGGACGAGGGCGCATCGCTCAAATCTTCACCTTTCGACAGGTTCCAGACAGACATACTTGCCGGCAGCCGACATTTGACTCTGTCGACCGTGAGGTGGTGAGGCGATATCTGGCTATGAAAGGAGTACCAAGCAAGTATATAACGCCTATCATAGCTCTCTACTCAAACTTACGCAGTCGTGAAAGGGCTTATGTAGAGTTATCTGAAGTAGCCCGCCAGGGATGCCTGTTGTCATCGTTCTTGTTCAACCTCGCTACATACGTACTAATGGGAATAACCTTAGGTATATCTGACTTTACAGGTACTGATCTACTAGCCGGAGGGTGTCTAGTTGACCTAGAGAAAGCAGACGACATTGTCCTGGTAGGTGAAGACTGATAAAATTCAGGGTCTTCCGAACGTTATGAACAGAAATCTGAGTATGCTTAGCGTGAGCTGCACACCTGTCAAATGTAAGATGATACTTCAGTACTGATCTGCAGCTACCCCCTGTTTAAGAATAGGGAGTGAAATGGTAGAATGTGTTGATCACTTCATCTACTTAGGAAGTTGCATCAACGCGAACGGATTGCTTTCTGATAAAATCTCGACTCGGATTTAGAAGACATTTGGCTTTTACCAACTTGCATCATCTCTGGTGCTGGTGAGATAATCGACTACCTATTAAAGACACGTATACTACGCTGCAGTACGTTCTATCCCTTTATACGGCTGTAAGACATGGCCGTTAAAAGTGGAAGATATGAAGAGATTACAGACTTTCAACCACATGTGTCTTCGTAGTATTGTTCGCGTATGGTGGAATTAAAATGTGGGTAACGTCAAGAGTACTAGGCAAGCAAGGGGGGTTGATAGACGCAGTTGTGAACTTTCACCGACTAAGGTGGCTTGAACATGTGTTGTGCATGTTGGTCCACTGCCTACCTCGACATGCATTACTAGAAGTTAGATTAACTCGGCGTCGAATTTTGTGGTGATTTTTACTGATTTAAGGTAGGTTTGACCCCTGGAGGGATCATAAGTGCGCACTGCTGGGGAGTCTCATACTATGACGAAACAGCTGTTCAATGCTCCCAGGTTTCCAATGTTTCTCCAACTGATATTAGTCCATGAAGAAGTTGGATTACATTGGAAGAAGGTTTAATATGGTCAGACTAAGACAGCACCAGTCACTGGGGTTTTTGGTGGCTAGTTTGAGCTGTGTGAGTAGTTGTAGACTGCCTAGTTGGGGTCCTTGAGATAACAGGAATCAATGGTTAAAGACTCTTGGTGAAATAGCTGAAAATTGGTCATAATTGCGCAGATGTATTCACTCTCCAACGTCTTCTAAAGTTCGAATATTTCCACCAACATTTGTCTTTAAATTTTCTCCTCCCATACACTTTTGTTTCCTTTGATATCACTAATTTTCTATCCGCCTGTTCTTTGTATACTACTGTCAGGTGTGGTAATTTGAATCGATGCATTGCTGTGCGAGGTTCTACCTTGATTTTGCTTGTCTCTCTAATGTAAGCATCAACTATTTGTTGTTATGCTACTAAAAAGCTGCCCGAAAAATGTTCTAGCTACATATCCATTCTTAAGTTTATGTTTTGATTGACTCAGATGTGATCAAACCTGGTCTACTGAAAATATTCCCATCTGGGCTGTCTACATTTTACACCAGGTACTGTTTTTCGCTCTTGAAAAGTAAGTGTTATGGTAAAATTCCAGTCTATACGCCCAGTTTTTCTGCGAAAAATCTGCAGATATCTTAAAACGTTGTGGAGACATTTGGTACATTTCATGAAATATTTTTTATTTGTTTCTTAACTTCTAATGCTTTAGCCACAGGGTTATACATTTCAATAATAAAAGTGGAGTTACATTCTAACTAAAAATATCACTTCGTGAACATTGCACAACCATGAAGAAAAGTCCTTTGGAGTCAACTTACTCCTCAGTGATCAGATACCATCAATCTAAATAACGAATTGGTCAACAAACTAAGTGACGCAGTACTATCTGTTTGTTGAATCATTGCAGGAAATAAGCAGTTAACCCTGAACTTGAGTACCATGTTAATGTTTACTCACCAGACATTGGCAAAGCCGAAATTCGAACTTGTATTAATCAATACCGGAGTTTTTTATTCGATAAGTCAACACGATATAAAATCTAAAACCGAAAGGTTTACGGGGTATACTTTGCTGATTCTTTTGGTTGTCTACCGATTGCATTTTGTACGTTTTCCAGAGCAAATACAGTAACACGGAACAGTCATAAGGTATTTAGACCAGGTTAATGAGGTGGAAATCATCCAAATATGCAAGACTGGTTGACACGTCAACATTCAACGATATTACAATATAAAATATCCTTTAGTTGCAAAGCAGTGATTTGCTGATGATAATTATTACTCAAAATGACGTGGATCTGATTAAGTAAAAAAACGTGTTCATCAACTGAGTAGTCTTATCCGGTCTCCGATTTGAATCTCTGCCTCAAATCAATGTTGAGCACTAAAATGACTGTCACTATCTTTGGATTATACGTAGATTGACCAAGTTGTAAAAAGCACTAAAAGAGTTGATTTTAATCCACTTACAGTCATCTTTATTTGTTAATTACGGACAAATAGACAGTGTGTAAACGTAAATCAAGGACAGGTTGTTGGAAGGACTCTTAGTATTATTATTTTTTGTGCAGCGTGGCATAACACGTTACCCAAAACTTTCAGCATCCAAAATACTTCAGTTTACCATAAAAACAAATCAAGAAGCTCAGGATTAGGAGTGAGCTAGGCTCGTTAAAAAATTTAGTCATACTTTTCTTAAAGCGACACAAGTTTCAGTTTTGGTATAAGTTTTGTCTGTAGTTGAAGTGCTGCAAGTTTGTGTGCAGAATGAGCTGACTGTCTCGTTTATTGGAAGTACGCATACCAAGCAGCTAAACTCCAAACTTCAACAAAAAATGTATTTCACTTATCCTGAGGGCTTTAAAGTTATATTCCCGAAAAAATACCAAACAGAAATATAACGTACGATGCGCCCCAGCAAAAAGACACTCAGATACAAAATTACGCATAAAAGAAGTGTTCGTTTAACTATTGAAGGAGATCTGAAGAAACAGAAGATAACTCGACGAGAGAATATTTACTAAGCAGAATTGGAATGGTAGTGGTTACATATGGTACTCCTTGCACTAACGCAGCCATTTGCAAATGTCTTCGTTTCCTCTCCGTCCCTGTCTTGATTTGCTCTTGACCAGCTCTTCATACACTTTTATCAGCAGCATCCCCTGTGACACGCCTGTGTTGTCCCCTGCGTTGCTCGTGGCAGAAACCCTACCCAGTGCCGGTAATTCCCTATAATTCCTGCCACCCTCTCGATATATACTACTTATATCCATTGTTATCAGCAACGCCCACTACATATCCACTTTTAATGGGGAAAAAAGGAATTTACACTGCCATTGGTACTGATCACTGTTTAAGGGAAAAGGTTTGACTATGCCATTGGGCTATAGAGCTTGTGGCTCGTTGGCTTAGGGATGTGACAACCGATGGGTTACTGGTTCGAGCTCCACCCCACCTACTGAGGTTTGGATAGCCAAGTAGTATAACTAGCTGTCACACAATAGATGTGGCTCATTGTCTAGTGCATGAATGTGTACAAGGTTGCTGAGTGCAATTCGGTTTTTTCTATACCATCGGATTGTAGCAGTTCTAGAACTCTTACTAGGATGTAGTGGTTGTCTAATAAGTTGACGAAATATTTCTTAACCAATATGGTTGTGTTATATACTGATTATATTACCTTTCATACAAGCCAGTTTTTATACTAATGAAGAAAGTTCAATGTGGGAAGCAATGAAATCATCCACGTAAAACGCATCCAACCAAATGAAGCCGGCGCTCTACTGTTAACAAGAAACTGAGTAAATCACAATCACACCAACTGATAGGGACTGTATCGAAGTACATAGGATAGAATAATTCAGTGAAATTTGGCAAAATTATTTCTATCACCAGTTTTGTAGTGGACCTACAAAACTCTATTAAGGTTATAGATCAATTTTTGGTGAAGAAATTTCAATTAATTTATCATTTATTTACTGACTATGGATCGTAGGGTACCTGAATGTTTGGTGCAACTTTGTGACTATACAAAAATTTTTAATGTACCAACCTGTAAGAGCTTTTTAGCTGCCATTTATCCTCATTACTGGAATCAGATGTCCTGTTATTGTCTTGTAGTAGCATTGAAGTATTTATAGTGTTGTGAAGATTTTGTTCAGTTAGTTGACTGTATAATGCTGGGCACACTTTGATTGCTAATAGCTGAACCCATAACGAGATTTGTCCACGTTTTCTCTTACCTGAAAGGTCGGCTAGAGGAGAAAGTGGATTGCACGAATACGATAATACTCAGACACATTACAATAATAATAATAATAATAATAATAATAATAATAATAATAATAATAAATCTAGAAAATTAAACACAATTTCAACAAAATTCATGCTGTTAAGTGCCACGTAAAAAACTCTCACAATCAGAAGCCGAACATGAGTGAGGGTGCCAAGTTATTGCCAAGTTCACAGTATACCATGTGTCTTTCAGTCACCAACACCTTGCCTTTCCTGACTACAAGTCAGCTCACAAGATTAAAGTACAAGCAAACTTTACTGACAACTACTGGTAGCTTGCTGTACTTTTCGTATATTCTTAGTGGGAATCACTAGCGAGGTGGGTCTGATTAAAATGCATAGCCGATAAATAACCTTCTTTCTTTTCGAAAACTACGTTAGTTCTGGAGAGAATAGAAATAATAGATACATACTCAGAGCAAACTCGAATAAAAACGAAAATCTGTATTTGACACCACTTAATTTAGCTAAGTCGGAAAATTCACGTGTTTTCCAACAAATTGAAGTTCTCAATAGTGGTATAATCGTTGAACATTAAAACACACCTAAACTGATGGAGCTTACTGTTGCTTTGAAGCATAGGAACATGACTAACATTGATCACTGGTATGAACACATGTTCTATGATTCCACAGAAGACTTAGGACCTGGCCAACACACCTTTGACTAAGCATGAAAGCTAGCTAGTTGCCTACACCTTGCTGCCAGTAATTTTCATTTGAATCGAGTAACTGTGTTTTAAGGATAATGCCAACTAAGCAAATATCCAAATGGTTATTGTGCAAGGAAACTTAAAAAATTAGTACGAAGCATAATTGAGACCAATAGATTATACCTAAACTTTACCAAATAGATTTTACGTAACCTCAGTAAATTCCAACCAATACTCTTGAGGTAACTCAAGAGAATCAGTCGTTTCTCATTGTTTAAGGATCTTCAACGTCAATTTCCACCAGCAAAGAATGATAAGTGTTGATAAAATATTCACGTTTCTGTACATAATAAACGGGTATCCTTGTCAACAAAACCGCACCCCATCCATAGTTCTGATTGTACTTCTCATAGAGATTCCCTGAACCAATCTAGCATAACTGAATCGTGGACCTTACAGTATAACTAGTCTACCGAAATCATAGTTCGGGCGCCGTGGCAAAGCATAATTCTTCTTTAGCTTGTTTGACAGTAAAACTACCAAATACAGCACAACTCAGCGTTTTCGATACCGCGGTGGTTACAAAACTTTCTGTCCTCGCTTTTTAGTAGTTTTACTCATTTTGATTATTTGCTCCTATTAGCAGTGGAATTTGAAATAGATGGAGGTGTTGAGTCGTTTCTATACGTGTTAGGTGTATCTACAGGAATGGTTCAATACTCATCTGCTACGTAGAAAATTGTTAGCAATAAGACAGAAGGATGGAAAACAGTAAAATGTGAAGAATTAGATAAGAGAGTTGCGTTATTAACATGGTGTGATTATGTGCAATAAATGGTGTTCGGAAAATCACCGACTAGATAAGAATTCTCAGCCGTGACACTTGATACACAAGTAAAAAAGAAATCGGTCTTTTCCTTCTGTAATGCAGGCAATAAAAGTAGCTTGTTTTTAAAAATATCTTACTAGGCTATTTTATTTGAGATGACAACCGGCTAGCAAAATGAAATGTCTCTCTCCATTCGAATATTTTCACAACACAATATCAACTGACTGCCGAATGAAATTGTTTTTTCACCTAGTACGCGGAGTCACTAGTTTTCTTAAAGAACTAATTTTTCAACAAGGAACTTTCCCTTCATTTTTGACAAGTACTTAGATGGTACTTTTCTGAGCAATCTAAAGAATAAGCTTATCTGAAAGCAAACACGAAGCAGGACTTTGCAATGACAAGTCAGTATCTACTGGCAGAACAGATTTATTAGCGTAACCATCTTTTTCATATCAGATGCATGAAACATACAAAAGCCAACTAACGAAGTGTCACATCTCCATGCATATTTAACTCATGATGAGCTGATCCTTCACGATCGTTAGGATCATTTGGATGACCCTGAGAATGGACATATGGGTGGATACTGTCTTCAAACACTTTCCTAAGAATGAAAAAACATGTAATCAATTTCAATATACTGCAGATCACGATAGCTGCTCCAAGATAATTTCCAGAGGATTAGGACTCTAGCATTCGGTGGAGAAGTGGTCTGAATATCACAGCTGTGGCTAACAGTTTACACACACCACTTTCAACCAATGGGTTACATATCCGAATACTCCCCAACCTATCAACGTTCGAGTAACTGAACCGTAGCATTAGCCTTCATACACAAAGGTGTGACCCATGGTATGATAGCCCATTTGTGAAACCGAGCTGCACTTGACTTCTATTTTAAAGCTACGTCAAGTACTGCACGCGTACAGCAGCGAACTGTAGTCTCATTCGAAATCGTTTCAATACATCATGTTATATATTTTTAAAATGATCTTGGGCGAAAAGAAAAACTTACAGTATCCAGGACTCATTCCATCGGATGTTAAGGAGGATGATGGGTTTATCCGTCGACTGCAGTCCAAATAACTAGCTAATTCGTGGTGACCTGTCTGACGTAAGGCATTGAGCAGAAGTGCCAGTCCCGGTGGTGGGGCATGTGAGGATGCGAGACCTGATTTTGAGCTAGCAAAACTTCCGTTATGAATAGGAAGACCAATAGCTCTCAATAACAGAAACGGACGCTTGTGTTTATCCGCTTGTATTATTTTAATACTTGACTCTCCACTTATAGCATGGTGTCTGACAAGATAATCAAGCAAAGGCATTTGTACATCCAAATTTTCAAATGTATCAGAGCGACACTGAAAATAAGTCTTTGTTACATCAGATGTCATGGTAGGATCTTCGAGACCATTTTGACCACTTGATAAATTGTAGAATGGAGCGGAAGTCTGAACCTTACTTGTGGAGCCTTCTCCATTGGTCGCATAACAGTCTCCTACTTTACATTCAGGGGTTGACTGCGATTGAGGTGGCATTCTTAGTTGACAGGTTGGTTGCGCAGCAATGAAGTCATTTATGCTCCCATCATATTTGGTGAAATCACCATTGTTGAGCTTCTTCAGATGGTTATCACGGTAATTCACTCTATATGTGTTGACATGCCCATAATCTCCATTGGGTACGTACCCAATCCCACTAAGACCATTATTATTGCACGAAATTTCCAACATCAACTTCTTAGGGGAATTGAAAACGGGGAGTCGAGCACAAATAATTAGGTGAATGCAACGTATAACAAAGAGAGTAAGTGAGCTGGATCAGCGAACCATACACCGCAGACCCAGCTGACCGTTTTCATATTTCGACGACTGACTGTCAATCAAAACAACAAGGTCACAGATCCCCGTATCTTCGAAACTCAAACTTTGTGTTATAGAAATAGTGAATAATGACTCCCGGAAACACATTTCATGTTCGTAGTATATAGGAATAAATACACATCAAGTACCATATATATTTATTCCTGAATATGCAAGCACACACCATTTTAAAAGATATGAATGAATTTTTTGGCAAATTACATGTTGCTTCCGAGAAAGTAATCTTACTTACTGGAATGTTTGTATTGCATGTCAATAAAGTGCAGGATGTAAACAGATGAAATATAGACAAACTGACACTATGGACTGTTAAACGTCTTGTCTTCGCATTAACAAAGAAATCATGGTTGGCATTTGGGTATTACAGGCAGTAATAATATTAAAAGGACTGCCTGAGGGAAAGTAAGGCTTGGAGTTAGTACTTTCATCGCCGTGCTTGTCATATTTCGCTTATCACAAATGATGAAAAACTCGTGCATGAAAGAGTGCTTAAGGTTCATGATTCTCTGTTCTTTAATAAGTGTAGAACTATGCATTTCATTCACTACTCTGCCACTTATCATCAGAGACTGGAGCTTCCCCTAAGTTTGCCGACAAGCGTTATCTGGAATGACCTCCTTTCTCTTCTCACCCTGATGTTGTATCGATTCCTTAGACCCATACATGGGTCATCATCTGACTATTTTCCGAAGATCCCCTACTTATTCTATGATTTCCTCTTGAATTTTAAAAGGCCTTCAGTGTCCTGTTTCAGCCACGAGGTCCTCTTCTCAGTTGTCGTTGTTGTGACTACTGGGACATTTCCGGGGGCAGCCCTCCGAAATGACATCATTTACTGGGTCACGGTGATAGTCAGTCAGTAAGACGCTCCACGTTTGAGGTCACTACGCGGCCTGAAGGCGTCGGTTCATCATCCCGTAGTTTATCATATTATGGCAGAGACAGAGGTGAGACCCCTACTGTGATAGTTGTCCTCTGGTTGTTAGATTAAGCACTGGCATACCGCTATTTCTGCTTCTGAGAGCGGTTTAAGGCTGAATGTTTTCTGCTAGTGGAAAGTCGAAGATATTCAAATTTGAACTCCTTACCCTTCTACCTACAATGGGTGTTAGTGCCAACACCTTCTTGCTACCCAGTCTTTCTGATGGCTTTGAGCAGGTTTCGGATGAATGTCCGACATGAGATTACTCCGTCCTGTCAAGAAATGAGAGTTGTGGCCTAACAGTCCCCCCATACGCAGATCTCACCATGCTCCATGGTCGGACATTACTTCAAGCACTTGTCAGTACTGTGCCACGTTGCTGGCAGTGGTTCAGGGGGCCCCACAATGGGATGCCCAGAGTACTTGATGTGAAGTGACTCCGGATGGAGGCTGGAAACTCTGACCATACACTTTCAGTGAACCGTTCACTTTTGAAACGGTCACTCAAAAACGTCGTCACTTGGCTCCTCTTGGACTGTCACCTGTCCCTCCTGAGCCGACACCGACCGCCCACACCGTCCTCGAAGTTACCAATATGCGGTGACAATCAGGTTTGCTTCTGACAGGAAGCAGCCTGAATGGAAATCAATGCTTAAGTTGGCAGCCACTGGAGTGAAAGCTCCGGACACCAAGTTTTGCTTGATGTTTCTATGTTGTCAGGAAAAACCTTTTAGGGTAATTTACCCCGCAGTTGACCTCTCAAGATAAGTATCCGACTTCTGGCCGAGTGAGTTTACGTGTTCGTGAATACTGTATGTAAGTGGCAAATTTTTTATCGGTATCTCTCTTACACTCACAGGCCGGTCTGTATCTTCTGGCTTTAGCTGCTGAGTGAGGACGAACGGTCTCCGTTGGCTTTCAGCCCAAGTGCCTCGTCGCACCACTGTAGTTCTCGTATTCATTATTATTCACCCGGGCACTTCGCCGCCGGGATTATGATCCTTGGAGCAACAAAGAGGTAGTGGATGCGCCGTCTTATCTCTAAATTTCCGCACGTTACTATAGAGTCACGTGAAACTGCTTCTTGCAACATGAGGTGTTTCAGTGGTGGATGACTGTTGATAGTTGTGTATTACTGGCTTCCCAGTTCTGCTGAAGCCAGCCCAGGTACTCTGTCAAATAAATAACGTAAAAGATTGCGACAGATGATGATGAGGACCACGGTTTGTGAGGTGGCCGGTGGATTCTTCAGACCATTATTGCCAAAGGACTCTACAGGTCCGTCGAACCCCCTTTTGTAGGCACACGGAGAGGGGGCCATGACAATCTATTCAGGGGAAAAATGTAATGGAGAACAATTTTTTCCAAGTCAGTAGCCCGTGGCTTGATGGGATGCAAAACTGTTGCTGACCTTCGTAGCTTTGAGGAATTTGTTAAGCTGATGCCACACAGTCAAGCATCCACGACATTCAGTGATTCGGATTCTGGGTTGTATTTGTGAACGAAAATTTCATCCGATCATTCCTTATGTACGTGTTTTGGCTGCCCAGTCTGTATCGAAAGGGGTCAGTAGGGGAAGCCCCTTCCGAGGTCTTATCGGTTTTGTTCGAAGTGCTGTTTTCACTTAGCACGGCAGATGAGTTCATTCTGCTGGCTTTTGGCCTCTCGAAGCTGCCATTTCTAGAGGAAGCAATTTGTTCTGAATGGATGGTTTATTATCATCGGTATTTCCCTGTGTCCCTTAGCTGCTACTAGGCCCTATGTCCCACTAGTGTCAATTTGTATCAATTTGAAAATCACTATTGTTGTACCGGTCGACATCCCATGTCAGCATGGAAAACGGAGTAAAGGCATCCCCGCCGCTTGGATACATATGAACTCTTGGGATACTGAATGCATCGGGGAACAGTCGAACAGCACTGCCAGGACTGGTAGCCCTGCTACCTCGACCATCGGGCGATCAGCAGTCCCAAACGGACATGGACGTAAGCAAACGAGATTTTAAGCAGCTAATGAAAACCCAACTATCGGTTCCAGTCCCCATAATGTGATCATAGGCCAAAACCTGCCAGTTGACAGTAACGCCACTGTTTGTGTCTCTTTGTTTCTACGGGGCCTAAACTGGCGTGATGTTCAGCTGGATGGGGGTGAGTTTAGGTCTGTTACTGTCGGCAGGCACATGTAGTATTTTCTGTCCCCAAGTCGTCTGCGGACTGACGGAGTGCTGTACCCGCATGAGTTCTGGATTTGCTATCCGACTGCATTGGCTAGCTGGTATCATCTTACCTAGTTTTTCACGCTTGGTGGGGCGCGATGTAAGGCTTTGAGAGTCAGGTTTTTACCGAGACAATGTCGGGCAAGAACATTATCTTTAGGTGTATCACTCGTTTGCTCCGTAGTGGGTACATTGTTGCTGAGCACCATCTTAGGTGTAGCATTTTTCCTTTGAAGTGTGGTTCTACCTTGAGCTATCGTAATATGTCTAAACATACTCTTGAATTTAACACTATTGTCCATCGAAACAAATTGCCCACAATCAAAGGATGGTGTAAACGGAAATAGAATATGGCATGGAAGTTGTGAACCGGTCTTCGGAATCCTTTTACGATCACAAGTGACTTGTGAAGTACCCTTTTTTTAGTGATATGCTTTCCGGGACATCGTAGACGATGACTTTCTGTAGTGATACAACTGGTTGCACCACCTCTGAGGCGATGAAGTGGACCATAGTTTCAGCCTTTCGTACTTCCTCATCGTCTACGTCTCTGTGTGGACCAGATAGATAGGTGATGGGCGCGAGCTGCTTGAGTACAGCGCAGGTTTCAGTTAGCATTGTGTTGAGCTCAGTAATTTTGACCGCACTGGAAGTTTCTATGTTAGTGAGGTCCGTGAAAACGTCAGTTATTCCTACATAGGAGTTTGCGACATATTCGGAGAGTTTCGAAATCGTGTTCCAAACGGACCTGTGGAGCATTCAGTTTTCCTGTCCGAGATATCTGGTCGGGATCCTAAGTTCTTGCTGCGTCCCATTAATGTGTTAGTGTTTGGATACCCTGGGGTAGATATCTCACCAGGGAAACGTTTCTCCATTGTGGTATGGTTTGGGTCTGGGTTATTGTGTTTTCCAAGGCGAAATGCTAGGGGCTGAAAGTCCTCAACTGCTCTTTTGATGTTCACTACCCATTTACTGTTCGTCAACGATATTACTTCGCCAGCCCCGGAGAAGAGTGCCGGGTGTGTAAGTTTATCGGGGTCTGAACTACATGAAGCAGTGGAGTCCCGGTCGCAACCTGGAACAGCAGTGGAACAGACACTTTTACCCTTTTCGCTACAGCAATCAACCTTTAAACGCTCAGGTTTCGACCGTTCCACTCTAGTAATAAGTTCAAATTGGCATCTGGAATTGATGGTTAAGATATGTTCCCTGAAAGAATGGGTCCTCACTGTCTACGGAGTACAATCTAGCCTCACATTATCCAGGGAGAGCAGGTTGCTACACATTCCCAACACGTGCGGTAATAATTGGCTAAACAATGCAAGAAACCCGCAAATAGGTATGATCAAAAGTCACGTATATGATTAGCCGACAAACTCAACGTTATCACGTAGACCATTTAATTTTGATAAACAAGTAAACTGAGTGGTAGGAACTTGGTGTAATCGGGGTGCCTTACTATCAGCCTCCCAGAGAGTGTGCTTCTAGCATACAGCAGCAGTGCTTCATCTTATTTTTCTGGTATTCTCAACACCCCATAATTGAACGCCTTATTTAGTTGTACCGGTTCAAAACTTTTGTCATCTCCTTTATGACTGCAGCATTCTAACTTTTACCTAGTGCTATATCCTGCTGTTCGTGCTGCCTGGCGCTAGGGGATCAGTGGTGTCTGGGATGATAAGAAAGGGCATAGTATTTTGGTAAGCGCGCACA